CCCCAAAACCCCAAAACCCCAAAACCCCAAAACCCCAAATCTAATTAAGCATGTTGAAGCCATGAATAACAGATTATACTTTCCAGAAAAAGATGTTCCCATTATCATCACAAGTACAGAGCTCACCGGAACCGTAAGGTACGAGGTACTGGATAGTATTCTCATGTTTTGTATCCCTCTCTTTCATCTTAAACTTATCATCAATCTTGATATCAGATTCAACTTCTCTAAAATTTTAATGCAAATTCCATACCTTAATGCGAAGAAATCTTTAGAGCCGACTTTAGCAGAGAAATCCTTAAATTTATCAAATCCTTTATCAAGCACTTTATCTAGACTCCATTTATCAGCAGACTTTTTGAAAAGGAAGGGTGCCTTGTCGTATCCTACTGCAAGGAATTTATCATCTCCAATAAATCTTCCCTTGGAGAAAGGTAATCCCTTGTGAGTATATTTGAAGATTTTACCTTTCTCTCCTGAGGACACATCTCAGAAGTTGAGAGTTCCATCATGAGAAGCATAACAAATACTATCTCCTGATGGAGACCAAGTTACATGATTAAGCCAGAATTGACACTTAAATTTAGCTAGGCATTCTCCGAAGGTAGTGACATCTCCGAACGGTGTCTTTGTCTCTTCCTCATCTACATCCTTCATGTATGCTGACAATATTTTGCAGGTTCCATCAAAACTCACTGATGCAATCACTCTGCCATTCGGTGAGAACTCCACAGCCAGCACACTCGACTTGTGCTCCTTCTTGATTTCTCCGGTGGCCCACCAGCCGTGCTTCGCGCTGTAGGTGCCGACGTAAATGCGCTTGGAGCTCGTTCCGACGACGAACTTGGTGCCTTGTCTGTTCCACTTGGCGTCCAGGATGGCCAGCTTCTCATCCATGTTAACCATCTGAGGCAGGTACTTGGCATGTTCATCGCTGTACTTCCAGACGAAGATGCTTCTATCATAAGAGCCTGTAAGGATGAGGCCAGTCTCATGGTTCCAGTCGATGACAGCAGCTTTCTGGGTGTGCTCTTTGAGGATATGGATTTGTTCCCAATCAGCGAACTTCTTGCTACCTTTAGTCTCATAAATTAATATCTCTTTCTCCCCTGTACAGATTGCTACCTGGGATCCATCTTTGTTGAAAGATATAGCTGTGACCTTATCAGTCATTTTATCTTACTCTAAAATTATTTCAATATATTATTAGATAATTGGGGTTTTGGGGTTTTGGGGTTTTGGGGTTTTGGGGTTTTTGGGG